CCCCCTCTTCAGTGCCACATGTCCCTTCTCTTTAAGAGCTCCACTCAAGGTCCTCACAGACCCCAAATATTTTTCACGAAAACGACCCTTAAAAGCAGGGTGTGTAGACTTGTGTACGTGATCCAGAGTAGACTTTAAAATTCCTTTCTTGAAGCACTTTAGAATCTGCTTGACTATGTTTAACTTTTCCATTCATCACGTTATCTGCAAGATTTCAGCGTAACCTACATCACTTTAACGATAAGCTGTCTGAAGTTGACTGGAATCGAATAATTGCAAATGGAACAAATTGTGAACTGTTAAGAATATATGAAAGTCATATTTGAACTGCGGATAAAGACGTGAATGAAAGTGATCCTCGCAGTAATGTGCACTACTTAGGCAGTAGAACAAATTGTGTGAACAAATTGTTTTCGTCGTTTTACAACAAGTATAATACAATTGTTAACAAACACACCCCCATGAAAAAAATATCTCATCGCAAAGCAGAGCAGCTACCTAACCCTTGGATAACTAATGGAATTAAAGCCGCCATTAAGGTTAGAAATAAATCATATGCAACTGGAGACAAAGCTAAGTGCAAACACTATAGAAATAAAATTTGTACACTGATACGCTTAAGCAAAAGGAGATATTATGATACGTTTTTCGAAAACAATATGGTCAACAAGGAAGCAATGAACTTTTACATCCACGGAAACAAAACTCGAAGTCACATCTGCACTAAAGGATTATTAATAATCGTAACAAAATTGTTAAGGAAGGTTCGCGGATACCTAACATTATTAATGAACACTTTGCAACAGTCGGAAACAGACTTGCTAATAACCTACCCATTCCCCAAAAACATCATCTAGACTATGTTGATAAGTGTAAATCTCCAATTTCATCCTTCCTATTTCAACCTGTTTTACCCGAAGAATTGTCAGAAATATTACTTGTACCGAATGATAAGTCTTATGGTTTATACTCCTCACCTACCAAACTACTCAAATGTTTGAGTGCCGTCACAGCCCCTGTTCTTTCAGGGATACTAAATACATCTATCAGATTACTAGGGACTTATCCATCAAAGCTCAAAATTGCTAAAATTACGCCGATGATACAGATGCAAACAACTACAGACCTATCTCTTTACTTTTAAATTTTAATAGAGTATTCAAAAAAATAATTTACAACAGATTGACGAGCTATTTAAAGAAACACGAACTTTTGTATTCCTCACAATACGGCTTTCGTAAGGGGCATTCAACCCAACACGCAATATTGGACATTGTTAATGATATAGAAACAAACATGAATCAATGGTTGTTATCTTGTGGAGTATTCCTTGATCTTAAAAAAGCCTTCGACACCGTCGATCACGACATTTTGCTTGATAAGCTCAATCACTATGGCTTTCGTGGATTAATTAATGATTGGTTCTTCTCATATCTCAAAAATCGCACGCAAAAAACGCAAGTAGGCCATCATATATCGGATAAAGCTGTCGTTAGAGGTGGTGTTCCTCAAGGATCAATTCTTGGACCATCGCTTTTCTTGCTATATGTCAGTGATATCCACAGATGCTTGAATAAATTTAGGTTTTACCTCTTTGCAGACGACACTAACATTTTGTATGCGGACAAAAATCTGAAAGATCTTTAGACAATAGTCAAAAATGAGTTACAAAACCTTTATAACTGGTTTACAGCCAACAAACTAACTCTTAACATTAAAAAATCCAACTTTGCAATTTTTGTTCACTCATTTTCCAGAAACAAGAGTCCAGAGAAATGTCACATACAAACTTAACGGGTCTAATTCGAAAAAAGTTAAGGGGCGGTACGCTAAGCTTATTTTCTCTGTAGAGACAATACATGTCGTAAAGAAGACATAGAAGATATTAAAAATTAATCCTCAGGTATACACTATCCAAGAGGGTATGCAAGAGATTAAAATAACCTTCAGGTATACACTACCCAAGAGGGCTCGAAAAATTGAATTCACACTAATTTATATCAGGAGACCGCTGTTTGTCTGGACTCTTTCTTTTGACTGAAAGTTGAGGCATCCACTTATATAATTATTATCATTTACTAGTTCCCGAATGTCTTTGTCAAGCTCGGCTATTCTTGACTGACATCAT